ATAGTTGGCGTTCCTGCCAAGCTACCGTTCATAGCGTGCATGCTACATAGCTAAACCACTAGGCTACCTAGAGCTAGACATGCTAGGGAAAACATTGTTTTCATGCCAGCTACAATGAATGACCGAACGTAGCAGGTATAAGATTGCAATTGTAAACATGTTCTTGCTAGCCTAGACCAGCGCCATATAGAGAGATCTATCTATATGGCGCTGGCCTAGACTAGCTGTTGTTCATAGTAGATTGGCATATTACACTGAACAACTAGCAAACGTAGGTTAGCATATTAGCTGGCAAGCTAACTGTGTTGATTAGATAGATAGATTAGATAGATACACACTCCTACCACAACTAACGAATCTAAAACAACTACGTTTCTCTAATATTTTGTGATTTGCATTTGATTTCGTCCAGCCAGATCAGGAAACTCCTGCCGTATCTGGCGGACAACACACACACGGGATGACCCACTCTGATGCCTCGTCCTAAAAAGCCCCGGCAGCCGCTTACAAAGCTGCGATAGGCAAGATGCCGAAAACGCCTATAAGGGGAGGAATGGATGATATACAGTGTATATATGTATATTTACCAAGTGGCAAACTCTGGGGAAGAGCCGGGACGCCAATGTGGAAGTGCCACAAACTGCAGTTCATATATTGGCCGATAGGCGCTGACTGCAGAAAGGAGCAATTTCCATAGAGCCCCATGTTAAAATGCCCAATTTCACAGCCTAAAAAAACATGTTTCTACCTATGGATCCAATAAATATTATTATGAATATAGTTAGATTCCACCTTCATGATTATGGATCTGTGAGTGAATTGTTTTCTAACACGACCCTTTTATTTATATTAGGTCTTAAAGTTTTTGCATAAATTAGGGCGTGGTCACATTGAGTGACAGCTCTGTCAAGTGACTGCTGCTGTTAGCTTCTTGTCTCTCTGCTAGCTGCTCCGTCCGTGAAGCTACAGGGACTCTGCCTGGTCAGTTCATCCAGGGAACACAACTTGATCCCGGCCGTGTTTGTTTGTTCTTCATGCTTATATATCGGACTATTGTGACTCGCTCTGCGGTTAAAACAGACGGTGCATGCATGCCGTTTTGCGGTAAGTGAAATTCGAGTACTTTATTTATGTGTTTATGATTTTAATCAGCTACGTAATGAATGTTAAGGCTTGGGTTAGCGTGTAAGCGAGTGGTAGCTACATCGGTGCTAACGATGCTAATCGTATCCTCCAAGTTAACTTAAAACCATAGACTGTATATATAAAGGTTAAAATGAAATAGACAAGTGTTAAGCGTTAAGTGAGATAGTACTGTAGAACAAAAGGCTTCTGTTTGAGGTTGATAAAATAAGGTCATCCTTGTAACTTAGAGAGATATTTTATTATGTAGGTAGGAACTGTATGCATCGCTAAGGTTAATTTAAATTGGCTATGCTCAAGTATGTAGACAAGCTAACGTTGAAGTAGTGTATGTGAAATCAACCTCACAATAAGATGTGTGTATATTACAATTATTAATGTCATATTTCAAGATGATTACTTAGATATTACAATATGGTTGGTTGAGCTGGAGTTCATTATTGAGCTTACACGTTAACGTCACAGTCATCTGAAGAACGAACCCAAACGTTGTTGTTTTTATTAATTGCATTACCAAATTGGTATCAAATAAACAGTAACACAACAGCATTGGTAACACAACTTCCAAAGTTACAGTAAAATAAAAAGGACCCTGACTCGGACAATACACAATCCAACATGTTCAACAGAAGATAATCAGTTATATTGTTTGTACACATGGTTCTTTACATATATATCTGTTTGTTTAAAGTTTCCAGGTGATGCAGACAGGATGGACCAGAGAGTGAGAGACAGAACTGGACTCCTCACAGCAGTGAACTTCAGTACAGGTACAAATACTCTTTTTTCATACTGTACAAAGAATCAAGAAAGATATTGGTTTAAATAAATGAAGTATTGACTTTAATACACTGATATACATTCCATTAAACAATACTAAATACTAGATCACCTACACATCAGTGAAGTTGAGGGTTTTTTCCATGCAAAGGGTTACATGTTAACAAGCAATATTACTTTGTCAGCTTTCTAATTTAAGGTATTGAAGGCAAAGCTATTTAACGCATAGTGACAACTGCTATTTATCTCTCAATATTGTCTGTAAAAGACGTGGTAAAAGTTATTCTTTCAGTAAGAGAACAGAGCAAGCTTCTACAGTTGCACTAAGTTTTGATAACAGTTAAATATTATTTTGATAATAAAATATATTTCAATGTTGATGAATGTCATACTGTTCATTCATAATCTGATTGTCTTTGTAGCTCACTGTTGAAATAAAATAAAACATTACAATTACAAAATAATTATATCTACAGCCCCTAAAAACACAAACACACCTCTTTCATAAATAACACACTTGTTCTGCAATAATATGTTTTATGTTTCCTGTAATTTTTGTTAGGAAAGGACATGCCTGAAAGACACGACTCAACATTTTCTCCTTCTCTGAGGGTCAAGAAAAACATCCAAGAGGAAAATTAAAAGCTGATGTTATGAGATTTTAAGACCAGTACAGGACATTCACTAAGAAACTACTTTTATTGTGAAGTCAGCTGATCGAATGCACCTATTTCCACATCTACACTCCATCAGCTGATTAATTCTATTTGCCTCACTTTATGAGCTTCACAACATGTACCTTGTACCGCAGAGTTTGCAACGTCACAAATAAATGGGGCCAATCTTCAGTCAGATGTGAATGTGTAATCTAACATTTTCAGTAAGAATAATGGACAAAAGGAGTGCAAACACAAATTCAATTTATTGAAATGTGAACCAAAAGTTAATCAAACATGTTTTAAATAAAAAAGCACATATGGACAGAAGGTGTAAACCTATTAAATATATAAGTAAACACATTTAGTCAAATAAAGTGACAGACAAGGCCTGTGCAGTTGGTATCAGCTATGCATGGGCTCCTCCATCAGGCCTGGTCCTTCTCGCAGAGGAACGACCTTCAGTCCTCTCCAAACCAACAGACTGGACGTCCATCACACGGAGGTTTCTCTCTGAAGTCTCTGCAGCTCTCTGGACACCACGCTGTCTCAATCCGTCCACACTGAATATGAGTGGGGGAAAATGAAAATAATAAATGCTTTAGACAATAAGAAATATAAAGTTGACTGTTGAGTTGCTCAGTTTTTTTAGATTGTCAATACTATTACTGTATAACTAATATCTCAGGTTAAGAGGCACCTTCAAATAAAGATTGGTCTTTAAATACATTTTGTCTTTTGAATTGTTTGTCTAAAGTCAAGGATCTAGAACTGGTACTTATAGTTTTAATGATACAGTCTGGTTATAATGCTGTTTGGAGGAGACCTCACAGGTAAGAGCACTAACTAGCTACCATCACATGCACCTTAGCTTAACTTAAATGTATTAAACGTATAATTAAGTGATAGCAAAATATAAATAACTAATGTCATGCAAACATATTAATATTTGCTTGATTCCAGTGTTGCATTTAGCACATTGCATACAAACGTTAAGGGATTTTAAGATTCTGAAGTATTATGCTAAAAACTCAATAACTTAGATTATTATTTATAGTTTTGCTGAATAGTTTCATGTCCGCTTACCTTAGAAACGTAAAATGTGACGGCAGTGTGCAGATGGGGAAGCATGTTAGCTTAGCTTCTTAGCTTGAGCTAGCTCTGTTACTTCCCAGCTGGAGGCAGAAGGTCCCGCCTCGGCTCCGCCTCTTTGCCCTTATTTGGAGCAGGCTGGAGCAGGCGGGAGTTAGACTCAGACGTCACTGTCGAGCCGTTAGTGGCCGACTCCGCCTACTAAGGGCTTCTCGGCAACTCTGCAGAATCCTATGGGTGACGTCACGGACCCTACGACCATTTATATATACAGTCTATGATATTTACGCATGTTCATTTTGTACATTTCTAAAAATAAAGTTTGATGGAAATACTTAGTAGGCCTATCCTTTCTTCCCTGAATGATTTGCTCCTATAACGTATCATTCATATATAGCAAACCATGATTTGATTTCTCATCAAACAGTAGTAGTTTATTACAGGTAAAAATAACTTACTCTTCTATAACAACAGTTGTAGGTACAGTTCGGTTAGTTAGCGTATAAAATATACGGCTGTACCGACGCCATTATAAGACTGTTGTTCCGCTGAGTGCGAGCCGAAAAAAGCACTGTTAGACATGGGCGGAGCCTCTCTGGTGGTTGACTAATCAGAACAGAGTGGCCGAGCTGACCAATCGGAGCACACTAGGCTCACAGGGAGGGGGGGGGGGCAAGAGCTCCAACGAGCCGTTTAGTGGAGAGAGTGAATACTGCTGAATACACATACTTTACAGAGATGCTGTATGCGAAACCAATGTGAGTTTAGAAAATTGCACAGTATAAATCTATTTTAGTATACTTCAACAATGGAATTATGATCAGTGGAAATGGCCATGACATGGGCCCTTTAACTATATTTTGATGATAATACTTTTCTACTTTTACTTGAGTAACATTTTGAATGCAGGACTTATACTGTAACAGAGTATTCCTACACTCTGGTACTTCTACTTTTACTCAAGTACAAGATCTGAGTACTTCTACTTTTACTCAAGTACAATATCTGAGAAATTGTACTTTAACTAAGAGACCTGAGTACTTCTACTTTCATAAATATAATCAATCAGACTTCAGTTCCACCTGGAGTGAATTCACAAGCTACCTTTCACAACACTTTAATGATCAATCATTATATCAAAACCTATATAATGGAAAACAAATGTATGATCACAATATTATTATTATATATATATATTATTATTATTGTTGTAATTCATATTTATTTTAATACCGTTTTTCACCACAGGGAGGCAGTGAATTTATTTTTAAAAGAAAAACTAAACTCCCATGATGCATTGCGGCGGTCCGTTTCTAGCTTCCGGTCCTCAGAAGCTAGACGTTGCTAACAGACGTTGACACAGATTTTATACCGAATGTAATGTGTTTAAGAGACTTTTAAAACACATACAAAGACTTAGTTTATCCTTGGAGGGTGATTTATCCGTTAAACCGTGTTTTTGTTGCCTCCCGTTCTTTGTTCGTAGCTTTTTATACCACGTTGCTGATCGGTAAACACAAGTAAAGGCATTCAACGGAGATTAGTGTGTTTAACGGCAGTGTTTTATCAAGGAGAAGAAAGGCTGAAGAACCAGGACGAAGAGGAGAGAGAGAGAGGTAACATCCGTGTGTGTCTAGTATTAATGACTTTGTATCAGTGACGTTCGGTGTGGTTCATGGCTGGTGAGGCACTGACTCTTTCACAGTCAGATTTACAAATATTATATTTGGACCTTAATCGAAATATTCTGTTATTTTCAAAAGCTTTTTTAGTCTGATGCTTCGATTCATTTTAAACAGACCGTTCAACAAAAGGATACCCAAAATCTAATTATTGGATTGTTCTTTCTTATGCGGCTTTCACACCAGCGCTTTTCCCTTTCTAGCTCCTAGCTAGAGCTTTTCTGGTTCAGCTCCGGGTTGCGGTCGAATAGTAGAGATGGGCGAGTCCTGATTCATCCGGATCATTAACCCGGATCCTAGAAATGAGCTGGTCGTGACGAGTCTCCCCTCTCCATTAACCCGAGTCCTTGAGTCCCACATTTGGTGTGACGTACAAATTAAAACTATAAATTGCGTCACTCGCTACTCTCTTTATAACATGTAAAATCACATTACAACGTACCCCAGTCCATCTGCCTACCCTTTAGCAAGTATACAGGATAGCTGCCTGCCAGAAGTTATCGTTTGGCTCAGGGGAGGGGACGCGGATCAGTGAAACTTCCTGCAGACTCGTGGGGACTCAGAGGAGCCGACGGCTCCTAACCGTAATAGCATAGCAGATCCAGAGATCCATACTCGTCATGTGCACGAGCATAGCCCCTCCTCCAGCACCCGGCTCCCGCGCTATCAACAGCAGACTCGCAGTCAACAGCAGACTCGCAGATTCGCAGATTCGCAAATCCTGACTCGCTGCAACACACAGCGGATCAGACTCGTGCGGACTCGGAGCCGTAACCATATAGCAGCAGATCCAGAGATCCAGCAGACTCGTCGTCAGGCACGAGTCAACAGCAGACTCAGATTTGCCAAATCGCAAAATAACCCTTTTTTTTGTGATCAACATTTTTTATTAAAGCAAAGTACACTGTGTAGCGGAGGTTAATATAACGTCCGTTTAATAGATAGATAGATAGATAGATAGTACTTTATTGATCCCAAATTGGGAAATTGTTGTTGTTACAGCAGCATAAGGCATTTTACAATAAAACAAAACTACAAAATACACAAGAATAGAAATAAAAATAAAATAAAATATAAAATATACATGTCGAAATAGAAAATATACATGCAGATATTATATATATATATATATATATATATATATATATACAAATATATATATATATTCAAAATATATGGAATAATAATATGCTCGTGAAATGCATCAACTTTTCGGTTTCACCGATAGGATTTCTACGGTCTTGGTGATGCTGACTCATATGACTCAAATGACTCGTATGATCCGGATCTCTTCAATGACTGACTCAGAAGACCCTGAGTCCGTAAAAGGATCCGGATTTGCCATCTCTATCGAATAGTCCATTTAGCTTAGGAACCTTCCTAACTGAGTGAAATGACCCGGAAGTCCCTCAGTGGCAGCCATGATAAGTGCCGTTCGAATTCTCTAAATTGAAAGGAAAGGAGGTTTCAAACTTCCTTTATAACCTCCTTTAGCTTAGGAACCACTAGACCTCCCTAACTGAAAGGAGAGGAGAAAATGCTGCCCCACAATGCCTTGCGGCCGCGGCATTTGCCGTCACACAACAGTCGGCTGTTCACGGAAACAACCGATTATGAACGAGAACTTATATCATGAAAGTTACGGTGCTTATTAAGCATTTTAAAACGTATGTGGTAAGTTGCCAAAGTGCTTTGTTTTGAACGTTCATCAGTATTATAATCAAAAAGAGAAATATGAACGTTAGTTTTTACTGAAATGATCAAATAAAGTCAACATTTCACAGTCTTTACTGAGCTGTGTGGGGTTTGTTCAACTTTTAAAAGATGTTTGAATGGTGATATACACAGTGATAGATGTTAAGGACTAACGTTTATAATAAATACATTTGTATTGATTTTAAGATCTTTTCATACAATCATACGTAGGCTATTGGGATCATTTGTATTAATGTGGACCGGAGGGAGAGGGTGACGATTGATTGATTGATTGAAAAGTTTATTAACAGCTTGTATATTGGGTACAGTACAGTACAGCTCAAAACATACAATTGTTAAGGGGATGCAGACCAGAGAAAGACTTTCGTCTTGTTTACATCAGGGTCCCCCATTTCCAATTCATCATATCATTTAAGACATATAAGACATATTTGACATACAGATGGCTTATTTACAATTTACATACAATTGTTTTTTTTACATACAGATGACTTATTTACAATTTACATACAGGTGGTTTTTTACATACAGATGGCTTATTTACAATTTTCATTTTAGATTTCGTTCTAATACATCCTAACCGGACATTTAAGACATACCAAGTCTACAGATATACAGTTAGTAATGGAGTCTAAAATGCGAGTATATACATAGATGGGGGGGGGGGGAAGCTGTCCATTGTACGACAGGTTGAGATTTGTACCATTACCGGGGCCAGTTTTGCAATGCTCTCCCCCGAAGGTGCTCTTTAAGAGAGGTTTTGAAGGTAAGTATAGTTTTACTTTCCTTTACAGTTGTGGGAAGAGCGTTCCACCTTGATGTGGCATAATTGCGAAACGTGTATTCCCCCTTTTTTGTGCCAAATCTGGGTTTTACATGATTTGTGGAGCTCCCTCTGGTGTTATGATCATGGTATTCCTTGACCTTTGGGAAGAATTTTGACATGTACATGGGTACCATAGAGGTGTAGTGGATCTTGTAGACCAGGCCCATTGCAAGTAGCTGTACTCTGTCGTCTACTCTAAGCCATCCTAGGTTGTCAAAGTGGGCAGAGGTGAGGTGGGTTCTAGATGGAAGGTCAAGCAGTAGTCTGACCAGTTTATTTTGCGATGTTTGAAGTTTTATTTTTAGCACCTTGGAGGTGCTATGGTACCATGACATGCAAGCATAGTCATAGTACCCTTGAATGAGTGCTCCTGCCAGAGTTTTCAGGGTGTTTTTGTTTACCAGAGAGGAGATCCGGTATAGGAATCTAGTTCTTTGATTGACCTTTTTTATTACATTGGATGCCATTTTGTCACAGGAGAGGTTTGCCTCAAGAATAGATCCTAGGTATGTAATTTCCTTCTTACTAGTGACAATAATGTCACCCACTGCAACTGAGAAGTCGTCGGATTTGCTGAGATTATGTTTCGAACCGAAGAGAATGGACTCTGTTTTACCCAGGTGTAATGATAATTTATTATCGGCGAGCCAGGTGCAGATTCTGCCGAGCTCGGAGCTGAGTGTTTTTTCAACCTGCAATCTGCTCCTGTCAGAGACCAGCAGGGCTGAGTCGTCCGCGAACAGGAACAAGTTGCAGTCACATGCTGATGACATGTCATTTGCATAAATTAGGAACAGTAACGGACCTAATATGCTTCGTTGTGGAACACCACAGCTCACTGGGAGGGGGGGGGGACAGAGTACCGTTTACCTCCACCATCTGTTCTCTCCCCTCCAGGTAGGATTGCATCCAGCTCACCGATAGTTTATCAAAACCAATTGCTTTTAGCTTGTCAATCAGAATGGGGTGATTGACAGTGTCGAAAGCCTTTTGTAGGTCCAGCATCACCATGCCGCAGTATTTACCCTCGTCCACCTCTTGTTTGATGTGGTCGTTCAAATAAAGAAGGCATGTGTCAGTGGAGTGGGATGTTCTAAAGCCAGATTGAAATTCATAGATTAGTTTATTTTCCGCGAGGTACTTTTCGACCTGTTCATATACTATTTTTTCCATGACTTTCGAGATGGAGGTAAGTATAGAAACAGGGCGGTAGTTGCCTGGGTCCAATTTGCTGCCCTTTTTGTGCAGGGGGGTTACTCTTGCAATCTTGAAGTCTTTGGGAACTTTTCCCTGTTTTATGGAGAGGTTAATTATGTGAGCTATGACTGGTGAGATGGCGGTTGCTGTGTCTCTGAGGAATTTGGAGGGGATATTGTCGTGGCCAGTGGCCTTGTTAGGTTTGAGGGCGCTCAGTTTAATGAGTACCTCTGCTGTTGTTACCCTTGCTAGACTGAAATCATCTTTGCGTACCCCTAGGTTTTTGTAGTAGGTCATGATGTGATCTACTCCAAAAAGCCCTGAGTGGGTGGGTAATTTATTTACAAGAGTTGTGGCTATGTTTGTGAAAAAAATGTTCAAGTACTTGGCCACATCCAGTTTGTCTGTGATGAGCCTGTTATCTGTCTTTATGTTTAAGTTTGCAAATCTCGTTTTGAGTTTTTTGCTGCAGCCAAGCTGGTTATTGAGTAATTTCCAAAGTTCCCGGGGTTTGTTTTTTGTTTTCCTCAGTTTTGTCATTGATGAAATTCTTTTTGGCAGTTTTGATCATGGAGCTTACGTCATTTCTCAGTCTGTTTCTTTCAATTTTTAGTTCAGTCACGTGGGCCTGGAGTTCACTGCTCGTGCTTTTGGAAAGCATTGACTGACTTTTATGAAACTCAGAGCATTTTTTGTCTCTGGTTTTCATGGCGGTCAGTATGCCGGAGTGCATCCACGGCTCAGCGCGATTTTTTACCCTGGTTGTTCTTAGGGGGGCCAAATCATTGAGTATTGCAGAGAATTTGTTTTTGAAACCAAGCCATGTTTCTTCAACTTGTGTACCACTGAGCTCATCTGACCAGTCCAGGCTCTCCAGTTTTAGGTTAAAGGCCTCGCTAGAGTAGTTTTTGAGGTCTCTAGATATGACTGTTTTGTGACAGCCGGCCTTTTGAGCATAAGTTTCACTTTCCTTTTTTATTTCAATTCCAACTTTGGTCATGAAGAATATGTTTCTCTGTTGTCCCCGTTCATAAAGCATAAAACAACAGCATCAGAGCACGGTGCAGAGTCTCTAGATGAGTTTACAGTAGTCCCTCGTTCTTATTAAACATCCATGTTGTAGTCCGCTGTATAGAAAACTGTAGTTTCCATAGTTTACCCACAGCAGCAGGCGCAAATTTATGACCTCCGCTGGCGCGTCATAAACACGTCGGATAGTGAAAGTGCAGTCGGATTCTCTAAAGTACCGCAGTCTCTTCTCCTATATCCTTTTGAATTCTCCTATCCACTATCCCTTAACCCCATGACGTTTCACTCCGAGGTCAAGGAATAGACGATAGGGTTAGAATTTAGGAGCTGTTTTTTTGGACTATTCGACCGCAACCCCGGTTTCCCTTTTCAGCTCCCGCTCTGTTCACGCCGCTGCTGCGTCATGACGTCACCGTTTACATTGCTGATTTTCTCCCCAACGGAGCTCACAACAACAACGGGGGGGGGGGGGGGGGAGGGGACTGCGTCGGGTCGATGATCGTGTTGCTTTTAATCATACGAAGCCAGATTAAATTAAATAACGACTTCTCCAACCTTATACTTTTCTCCAGAGTGCCGTGGTTCATTGTTTATTAATGTGTTTCAGCGGCATTTACCGACCGCTGCAGTGCTGACTGCTCTTCCACGGGAGTTTATTCTCCCGTTAGCTCCGAGTTAGCTCACACGGCTCTAAAGTATTCACTGTCTGACTGTCACACAAGCAGCTGATACATATCCCCAGTTCCCCTTAAGTGAATGTGTGTCAGTCTGAATTGACGCTGTTTGGCATCACAACGCTGTTATGAAAGTTTCTCTGGTATAACATGGGTGATGTTAGCATAGCAACCGAAGCTAAACTGACTACTTGCTAAGCCGTTTTCTACAGGCACATTTTACCGGCGTATTTTTCATTATGATTCTACTTGTGATAGTCGGACATGACAACCTGTGCAGCCCATGTATTGATTCCATCCGATAGCTGCTATAATACAAAACAAAACGTCTGCCTTTTCTCCACAATGATCAATAACAGCGAACGGATGGTCAAAGTAAGGTACAAATTTCCTGCACGCCTCGACAAGAGAGACGTAAGAGAGACGTAAGAGAGACATAAGAGAGACGTAAGAGAGACGTAAGCTACGCCGCTTTATAGCTCCGAAGCTCTTGCCTCTAGACCGACAATTTTTTGGAGCTGGAAGTGAACCGCATTCCGGAGCTATGACGCGGCGCCGCTGCGGTGTGAACAGGAAAAAACGGCGCTTTTCCAGCTCCGAGCCGGAGCTGGAAAGGGGCATGAGTAAGATCCCATTTTCATTACAAATGTGGTCTTACCTTGACTTGAAGATGAAGTCTATGCTATCCTTCAGGACAACAATCTCTATTACTTTTTTGTAAAAGTCCTCCTTATCTCCCTCTAGTTTCAAAAGTCTAGTTTGTTGTTTGTGTCTGTCACTACCCGATCTGTCCCCCTGCCCGATCTGTACTGCGCATGTGCGAGATGGTCCGCCATATTGGACAACTACATACGGCAACTCTACTAGGACACTTGACACAGTGGCTTTTGGCAAAGCAGAAAAAGAACCGAGAGAGATTATTGTTATTACAACGTGACTTCACTATTATTTAACAACTCTTTTTATTGGGTTCTTTTATTTGGGGTTAAATACATTGTCAGAATAAGTGAGACATGGATTTAACTTCTGTTAGACAGCTATCATACTGAATAAATATTTACTGTGAATGTTTGCAAAAATGTATGGCATATAGCTGTCTAACAGAAGTTAAATCCATTTCTTCGATGTCAGAAAAGTTATCGAGTTAATTTGTATTTATCGTACAATAAGTCAATTAATTGCTTATCACGACAGGCGTAACGCTGTTAGCTAGGGCTGCACCCGAATATTCGGTCGTTGGCCTACTATTCGGTTTTTAATTTCGTTATTCGGATATTCTTTTTTTTCAAAAAGATTTATGTCAATCGCTGCACTGCGGCTGCCAAATTGAATTTATATGTAGATATAACTTTTCTCTGTTAATCTCCTCTACCTTTCTCCGTCACGTTGTTTCCATAGCAACAAGCACTTCCTGTCAACAGCGCTAACTCTCCTTCAAAATAAAAGCATGTCCATACAAAATAGGAAGACAAGCCAAATTACACTTAAGACATGTATTCAACTGCAACGAAAGTAACAAACACAATGCAATATCCTTTTCAATTTAAAAGAACACAAATTGGGTTATTTACATTAACAAATAACTATAAAACAAGTGCACAAAATGAATGCCTTGTATAAACCTCCTCCCCCGCGCTGCGCGCGCCGAATATTAGCTGCTGATTACTACCGAATATCCGGAGCTTGAAAAATGGTATTCTGTACATGCCCTACTGTTAGCTGCCGCCTAAACAGATTATGGTAATCTTGCACTTAGATTCTGGGGGTTTAGTCCTAAAGGTAGGACGGCCGTTTTCCGGAGCCTTATCAGCATCGGAGCTCGGTATCGGAGACGACCTAGATATTAACGTTGGTTTTATCGCGAAGTTTTACCTCTAAATAGTACTTAAGTACAGTACTTGAGTAAATCACTTAGTTACTTCTCGCCTCTGCCATTAACCTAAGAAGTAGCTGTAGATTTATGTTGTTGTGTCTGTCGGTTGTATTGCGTTATCTTGTTTTGTGTCAGCTGTAGTTGTGTTGATTATTTCAGAGACACAGCCGGAGAAGGAGCACTGAGAGCAGCATGGAGGAGAACAAAAAGACCCCTGGAGCTCAGGTCAGTGTGCACTTCATCACAATATATTCCTAACACTGTTATCCCCAAATGAAAGATCACAACCTGTTTAGAAAATACAATATTAATGCACAATATGGTTGGATATAGGTTAGAACATTACTACTTAGTAATGTTCTAACATTTATCACATTACGCAAACACAACTGAACATTCCCCAACATTAGACATATGGCAGATTAAAAAATAATGCACTTTTTTTTTTTTTAAAGTGTGCAGATACTAGAATCATCAGTTTAAAGTACAGACCAAGAATATAATTACATTAGCTAATTCAACAAAAATACAAGAAAAGCACATCCACAAACAGAGCAGAGTAGCTTACAATTCTCCAAATAGATTAACCAATTTCAAAATGTCCTCAGTAGTAGTAGTAGTTTAGTCTTTTCACTTTAACCTTCCATCACTTCTGCAATGTCCCCACTTTTTTATAAATTCCAAAGATAATTACCAAATGGTGTAAAATTCCGAAGCTTTCTTCTTTAGTATATATGTGAGTTTCTCAAGAGCCAGACTCAAAGTTAAATTGTTTAACCTGTGGCTCAGGGAGGGGCAACCAACATTTTTCCAACACAAAGCAATTGAGCGCCTGGCTTGTAGAAGGCATAGGTTAACCATTTTTCTTTCCCTAACCGATAGTGAACAGTCTTCTGGATAAATGCTTAAAATACAAAGTTTAGGGCTTAAAGGGGTTCACAACGAGGTTATTTGGGAAATGTATCTTGTCACCGAAGTCCAAAATATTTTAACCTCTACACAATCCCTCAAGCAATGATACCTTGATGGATCTTGCATTTATAACATAGATCAGGAATGTTAGGGTTAAACTTGTTAAACATCACAGGGGTGATGTAAGTTCTCATTATCCAATTATATTGTATTAATCTAAGACGTGTATTAATAGTTTGTGTTTGTGCCTTTGAACAAATTGTACCCCAATCATCCTCTGAAATATCCTCTGAAATATCCTTTAATACGTCTTTTACTTTCTGAGTTGTCTTTATGGTTTGCAACCATTATGTTATAAAATTGAGTAACCAGCCCTTTGCTGTTACAGTTTTTTATAGACAGTATCTCTACTGTGGACGTAGGAGGTTGTTGCAACAAGTTGTTTAACTTTGCCAATATAAAACTCCTAACTTGCAGGTACTTGAAAATGTGTTTCTGTGGCAGGAAATACTTTGTTTTCAGCTCGTCAAACGACATTAGGTTGCTGTCCTAATATGAATCTAGTAGCCTTACAATACCCTTACTTAATCATGTTTGGAAGCCCATGTCATTTTTACCTTGGCTGAAGAGTTCAATGCCCCAAATAGGTGAGAAACAAGACAACATTGGGGAGTCGCCTATATATTTATGTGCTTCCTGCCAGACAAACATTTTATTTTTCACAAAGGGATTCATTGTTTTTTTCCTTAGATTTTTAGAAGGAGCAGAGAATAGAAAGATATCCAGCATCAAACCCTTTGAAGACAACAACTCAACTCGTAACCACGGCAAATCAAGTCCTCTTTAAAACCAAAACATTAAATGTTGGTAGTTGTAACCCTCCCCTATCGTAAGGTAAATACAACAGAGAGAGTCTAAGTCTCGGCTTCCTGTTATTCCAAATACATTTAGAAAGTAGCTTTCTTATTTTAGAGAAAATGGAGGAGGAGGTGCTAGTGGGATTGATTGAAAAAGATATAAACATTTTGGCAATATACTCATCTTAATTATATTAATTATTTCCACTAAGGACAAGGCAATGTTGTCCACCTAGTGGAATCTTCTGACACTTTAGCTAACAAGGGTTTGTAATTAGATGCACTGAGAATGTCTATCTTTGGTGTAATTTTAATTCCCAGATAAGCAAAACCGTTTCTGGCATTTACAAATGGGAAAGATAATTTTGGATTTCTTCCCTCCTGTTCATTGAGAAACATAATAGAGGATTTATCTTTGTTCACCTTAAAACCAGAGATTTTACCAAATTGATTGATTACTTTTAAGAGGATTTTGCAAGACCTGATCAAAACACTATGGCATCATCTGCATACAATGCTATATGATGTCTTAATACCATAAATCAAAGGGTGTGATCGTATGGCTATTGCCAACGGCTCCATATAATAGCTATCACAAAAAGTAGAGGCGAAATATGAGAGCCTTGTCTCGTGCCGCGAAAGAGTATAAATGGTTGTGAAATACAATTATTGGTTAATACTACTGCGGACAAATCAAAAAATATAATTTTAATCCATTTAAGAAAGTAGTCATCAAGACCAAAGCGCTTAACCTGTTACGCACCGCCCCCCCGGTAGCGGGCGGATAAACGCATCATTTGCAGGAAACAACGTCTAAGGATTCTTAATATTTAATAAACTATGAATGTTTTATATCCATGTAACGGGAAGAAACTCAGCTAACTGATCTTTTTAATTTTTTTTTCCAAAAAAAACCCCACAATGCTAACACTCAGCCTCTGAATTAGCCACGAGCGAAAAAATGTAACCTATCTCTGCACCTAAACTCACTCCTAACTCCCTTATTACTTATCCTAGATGCACAGCCAACCCATCGATTAGCATCAGCTGGAGACACTGAATCTGGGGGCGCCCACCTCAACACTCAGTGATAAACATTTGCGACGCTATAAACGAAAGCGTACATCATAACATGTGGAGCTAGGTAGCTAGAAACGCTAACATGGCTTACCTTGGTCAAAACTGGTCTTCAATGGCATTAAAACGATAAAAAAAACGATACTGCAGTTAATCCATAGGTTAATCGAATGTATCTGTGTCCTCTTTGAAATTATTTCTGATAATCCATAAGCAATAAAACTGCTTTTTCGTTTCCAAATGTCAGAGCTAGAGATCGGTCCACTCTGACGCAAAATTACATGCGCGCAGCCCCAACCTTTTCTCTTCACAACGTGTGTGTGGGGGCCTCCCCCTTTGATTCTATTGGCTCTAACGGTCAGAAAGAGGTGTCAACCATCAAAATCGACTAAGGGGGGCCAGAGATATGGAAAAAAAAACATTTTCACCCAAATCACCTATGAGGTGGGGTGGTTTTGGCTAAACCTCTCTAAAAAGGTCAAATGTCACTTGTTTTGCATCAATCTTGATACAGGGTACTTATTATATGCTGTACTTTGGATTCCTAAAGCTTTTAATCTACTAACCCATCATCCAAGGGTAGTTTTCACTATCTGTAAAAAATAATTTTTGGACGGACACTATAATTTACAGTTTTTTTACTATGTAAAATCTGAATTTTCTTTAAAATAAAAAACATCTATATTGATTCTGACACTTCTACATCCAACTCACAGATGTAACCTTGCTTTGATAAAATAAATTATTCATATAACCCTTTTAGAAGTTAAGTTGTAGTCATTTGTTTTGGGCATGTCATTTTCGAGCCTGAAACATGAAAAACAGGCTTGGTGCTTAACGGGTTAAGCACTTCTAGCAGATATGGCCATTCGACTCTATCAAACGCCTTTTCTGCATCGAGTGACAAAATGGTCTTGTCCGGGGTTCCTTCACGAAACATAACCCTCCTTACATTATGGATTCCTTGAGGATTTTTAATAAAGCCGTTTTGATCTGATCCAAATTAATGCCATCCATAGTTAGTATATCTTTAGATAATTTGTTTCGTAGATTCTTTGGGAATATAGTTGAGTATCATCCGCATAACAGTGGAAATGTACAGAATGATTCCTTATAATATTGCCTAGCGGAAGCATATATAATGTGAACAAAATAGGTCCAAGCACTGAGCTCTGTGGCACTCCATGGCTAACTTTGGTTTGTATGGAAGATTTATCGTTGACACACACAAACTGAGAGCGTTCCGATAGATAGGACCTAAAGCAGTTCCCTGTATGCCAACTAAGTGCTCTAGTCTTTGCAATAGGATATCATGGTCGATAGTATCAAATGCAGCACTGAGATCGAGCAAAACAAGAATAGATAAAAGTCCTTTGTCTGAGGCTATTAGAAAGTCATTTGTGACTTTAACCAGAGCTGTCTCTGTGCTATGATGTGTTCTAAAGCCAGACTGAAAATCTTCAAATAAATCATTGTTTTTTAAGTAATCACACAACTGTTTTGCGACCGCTTTCTCAAGAATTTTTGAGAGGAACGGAAGATTAGAAATAGGTCTATAATTGGCTAGAACCTGTGGATCGAGGTTGTGCTTTTTAAGAAGAGGTTTTATTACTGCTACTTTGAATGATTGTGGAACATAGCCTGATAATAAAGACATATTCATAATATTTAATAAAGAAGTGTTAATTAATGGAAAAACTTCCTTTAACAGCTTAGTTGGAATCGGGTCTAAGATGCACGTTGATGGTTTAGAAGAAAGAATCATTGAATTCAATTGTTCAAGGTTTATGGCTGAAAAGCATTTTAATTTACTATCTAGTGTAATATTAGAACTTACATTTCCGGGAGCTGTTGATAACCCTATACTGGTCAAAGGCAAAAGGTCATTGATTTTGTTTCTAAGAGTAACAATTGTATCATTAAAAAAGCACATAAAATCATTACTACTGAGTGCTATGGGAATAGAAGGCTCAATCGAGCTGTGGCTCTCGGTCAGCCTGGCTATAGTGCTGAAAAGAAATCTTGCATTATTCTTATTCTCATCTATTTATGAAGAGTAGTAAGCTGCTCTCGCTTTACGCAGTGCTTTCTTATATTCATTGAGATTAATATGCCAAATTAAACGAGATTCTTCAAGTTTAGTGGAACGCCATATCCTTTCAAGTTGTCTCGACTTTTGCTTTATTTTGCGGGTTTCGGCATTATGCCATGGAGCTAGTCTATGTTGTTTTATTTTCTTCTTTTTCAAAGGAGCAACATAGTCTAATTTTATTCGCAGCGCATCTTTAGCACTATCAACAACATGATCAATTTGGGGTGGTGTACATTTTGTATACGTTTCCTCCCTTACATACAGACAAGCTATCGAGTTAAGTATTGGTGGAATCTCTTCCTTAAATTTGGCTATAGCACTAACAGATAGGTTTCTGCTGCAGGAGCTTTTGACTAATGGTTTGTAGTCTAGTAGCAGTACTTCAAAAGTTACCAAAAAATGGTCGGATAAAGCAGGATTATGCGGTTCGACTAATAGTTGCTCAATTTCAATACCATAAGTCAGAACAAGGTCGAGAGTGTGATTATAACAGTGAGTTGATTTATTTACACTCTGACGGAAAGCAATAGAATCTAATATAGAGTTAAATGCAACAGTAAGGCTATTTTTATCATCGTCAACATGAATATTAAAGTCACCTACGATAATTATTTTATCTGTTTTAAGTACCAAAGTTGATAAAAACTCAGAGAATTCTGATAAGAATGGTTGTTAAGAATGGCATTGGAAATATCTTCAAAGTTCAGTTCCCTATTCATTGCGAGTTTTGTTTCTACGGAAATATTGGGAAAAGACAGCTCATCTAGGAAAGTGTTTTGACTTACCGAATTCAATGGATAATCAGATTGATAAAGCCTCTTATAGAACGAAACAAAGGCCTGATTAATTTCCAATGGATCTGTAGTCATTAACGTAATGTAGCTTTCGGTTTGGGCAAACTGCGTGCGCATCACTCTCAATCCTCAATGGTAATGTTTAAGTGGATTTTAGGAACTATCCCTCAATTCTATTGGCTCTAACGGTTAAAAAGAGGTTTCAATCACCAAAATTGACCGAAGGGCTCCAGAGATACGGCAAATACACCCAGAGGTGTTTTTTTTTTCTCTAAACCTCTCTAAAAAGGTCACATTTAACTTGTTTTGCATCAATCTTGAAACAGGGTACTTATTATATTTTATAGTTTTGATTGCTAAAGCTTTTAGTCTACTACCCCATCATTCAAGGGTGGTTTTCACTATAAGTAATGTTTTTTTTTTGACGGAAACTACCATTTACATTTTTTTACTATGTTAAATCTGAATTTACTTTAAAATAAAATCATCTATATCGATTCAGACACTTCTACATCCAACTCACAGGTGTATCATTGCTTTGAGAAAAAAGATTATTAATGTACCCCTTTTAGAAGTGAAGATATAGTCATTTGTTCTGGGCTTGTCATTTTCGAGCCTGAGGCCTGAAAAACAGGCTCAGGGCTTAACAGGTTAAGCTTAACAAATAGCTCTACATCCCGGACCGAAATGTCCCTAAAAGGAAGTCAGAGTTCGAAATATATTTCAAATAATGTATGCACTGCCATTTCCCCACATACACATAACAGTCTGCAATGAAACGGTTGTCTCCTGTGCGCTCCACTTCTTACTTGGCGCACCGGGAACTTTCTCGTGCGAACAAGATACTTTCTCTCTCATTTATTCATTTCCCTTTTAGGGGCTTCGTACAATACAATACAATACAATACAATACAATTGCAAATATTTTATCCTTTCGAGTCATCTGTCTCAAGCCTAAGTCAAGTCTGAAGTCATGAATACCAATTCAAAGTCAAGTCGAGTCTTTTATCAATGTTATTCAAGCAAGTCTCAAGTAAAAAAAGATGTGACTCGAGTCCCCCACCTCTGTTATATACTGTTAGAATGTTGCTGTAATATAATAAACATAAACAGTTAGTAAAAATATATATTTTTTTAACTCAAAGTTTGTATTAAGTGAGTTTTTATTGTGTTAACTGTATATGTATTTATGTTTTTTAGATTTACTTTCTCTCTTTCTCTGTCCGTCTGTTTTAGAAACCGAAAGGAAGAGAGAGACGTCACAGCTGTCAGCAATGTGATGAATCCTTTACAAAAGTTGGAAATTTAAAACGCCACCTGCTTATTCATACTGGAGAAAAACCGTACAGCTGTGAAGAGTGTTGCAAAACGTTCGCGAGATCAGTTTCTCTCATAAACCATCAACGTATTCACACAGGAGAGAAACCATACAGCTGTGACGAGTGTGGGCAAACGTTCACTACATTAAGTCTTCTCAAAATCCATCAGCGTGGTCACACTGGAGAAAAACCATACAGCTGTGAAGTGTGTGGGCAAACATTCTCAACATTTTATTATCTTAAATCACATCAACGTATTCACACAGGAGAGAAACCGTACAGCTGTGAAGAGTGTGGGAAAATGTTCACTCAATTAGGTTCTCTCAAAATACATCAACGTATTCACACAGGAGAGAAACCGTACAGCTGTGAAGTGTGTGGGAAAAGGTTCAATCAATCAGGTGCTCTCAAAAGACATCAAAGTATTCACACTGGAGAAAACCCGTACAGCTGTGAAGAGTGTGGGAAAACGTTCACTGAATCAAGTCTTCTCAAAATCCATCAACGTATTCACACAGGAGAGAAACCGTACAGCTGTGAAGAGTGTGGGAAAACGTTCAATCAATCAGGTGCTCTCAAAATACATCAACGTATTCACACAGGAGAAAAACCGTACAGCTGTGAAGAGTGTGGGAAAACGTTCAATCAATCAGGTGCTCTCAAAACACATCAATGTATTCACACTGGAGCGAAACCGTACAGCTGTGAAGAGTGTGGGAAAACGTTCAATCAATCAGGTGCTCTCAAAACACATCAATGTATTCACACTGGAGCGAAACCGTACAGCTGTGAAGAGTGTGGGCTAAGGTTCACAACATTAGGTGCTCTCAAAACACATCTACGTGTTCACACTGGAGAGATACCATACTGGTGTGAAGAGTGTGGGAAAACATTCACTAAATCAAGTAATCTCCAAAGACATCACCGCATTCACACAGGAGAGAAACCGTACAGCTGTGAAGAGTGTGGAAAAACGTTCAATCAATCAGGTACTCTCAAAACACATCAATGTATTCACACTGGAGCAAAACCGCACAGCTGTGAAGAGTGTGGGCTAACGTTCACAACATTAGGTGCTCTCAAAACACATCAACGTGTTCACACTGGAGAGATACCGTACTGGTGTGAAGAGATGCTGTTTTCTCCCTAAACCAGTGGTTCTCAAACTTTTTCCGTCAGGCCCCCCTTTGGAGAAAAAATAAATGTGGGCCCCCCCAACACAAATAGTCATGTAGTGGGCCAAGTTAACATTTATTAAAATACATCAATATTAACGTGAGCATTCCTTTATCACTTTGTTGGAACAGTGATAATAAAACAATTCTCCAGAAGTCTGTGTGCTCAAAAAAATAAATACATAATATAATTGTGCAATCCCTTTGCAAGAACAATAAGTTATACTTTGCCACTTTGCAATCTGTGCATAAACATTTAAAGAAAGAAAATGCTGATATTTGGCAGAAAAGTGTCTTATCACAGCATTAGTGGCTGCAATGAGCCTGTTTTGCACAGCACATTTCTTCAAAACGGGGTTGCAGGCTCAGTGGCGGCGCCAGAGAATTTCTTTTGGGGGTGCTGTGGGGTAGCTTGATGTTTCATAGAGGGTGCTCAAACATTTAGGGTTTCCCATTAATGTACCGGTCGCTACAGTGGAATTGTGTACTGCAACACTCCCCACGCACATACACAGTGTATCCGCGACGGTTAAAACGAAGGCTCAATAATCAACTCACGGTATATAGGTGTAAGCAGGGGTAAAGTGCTATTTTTATAAGTGGGGCGTGGGAGTTAAATATTGGGGGTGCTGTGGGGTAGCTTGATGTTTCATAGAGGGTGCTCAAACATTTAGGGTTTCCCATTAATGTACCGGTCGCTACAGTGGAATTGTGTACTGCAACACTCCCCACGCACATACACAGTGTATCCGCGACGGTTAAAACGAAGGCTCAATAATCAACTCACGGTATATAGGTGTAAGCAGGGGTAAAGTGCTATTTTTATAAGTGGGGCGTGGGAGTTAAATATTTAAGTTAAATGCCTCAATCTGGTGCACTTTGAGAGCAAAATGAAGAGATCTATGGATACATCTCTCAACACCCATATGAAACAGAACTGTAAACAGATTTTCTTTTTCTTTATGGATATTTTACAAATCACTCCCCTTTTAACCTGTTACGCACCATCCACCCGGTACCGGGCGGATAAACGCGTCATTTGCAGGAAACAACGTCTAAGAAATCTTAATATTTAATAAAACTATGAATGTTTTATATCCATGTAACGGGAAGAAACTCAGCTAACTGATCTTTTTAAAAAAAAATCTCCAAAAAAAACCCACAATGCTAGCACTCAGCCTCTGAATTAGCCACGAGCGAAAAAATGTAACCTAAAACGGCACTTCAACTCACAATAACTCCCTTATTACTTATCCTAGATGCACAGCCAACCACTCGTTTTTGGTGTCTTGGAGACACAGAATCAAGTGGTGCCCACCTCAACACTCAGTGATAAACATTTGCGACGCTATAAACGAAAGCGTACATCATAACATGTGGAGCTAAGTAGCTAGAAACGCTAACATGGCTTACCTTGGTCAAAACTGGTCTTCAATGGCATTAAAACGATAAAAAAAACGATGCTGCAGTTAATCCATAGGTTCATCCAATGTGTCTGTGCCCTCTTTGAAATTATTTCTGATAATCCATAAGCAATAAAACTGCTTTTTCGTTTCCAAATGCCAGAGGGAGAGATAGCTTCACTCTGCTTAACATTTACATGCGCGCAGCCCCCACCTTTTTTCTTCACAATGTGTGTGTGTGTGAGCCTCCCCCTTCGATTCTATTGGCTCTAACGGTCAGAAAGAGGTGTCAACCATCCAAATCGACCAAGGGGGGCCAGAGATATGGGAAAAAAAACATTTTCACCCAAATCACCTCAAAGGTGGGTGGTTTTGGCTAAACCTCTCTAAAAAGGTCAAATGTCACTTGTTTTGCATCAATCTTGATACAGGGTACTTATTATATGTTGTACTTTGGATTCCTAAAGCTTTTAGTCTACTAACCCATCATCCAAGGGTGGTTTTCACTATCTGTAAAAAATTATTTTTGGACAGACACTATAATTCACAGTTTTTTACTATGTAAAAAACTGTGAGATAACTAATCTCAGTGAGTAATCTAAACACTGAGAGTCCTTTACCTCACTGAGCTGAGGTTATCTGAGCCTCTCAGTCTGACAGGCGAGAGTTCTCCCTCCACCTTGTTGTTGAAAAAGCTCCTTATATCCGTTAGCATAGCTAGCTAGCACCAGATGCCAACAACAACAATCTCCGGTACCGGTGCACGCTCTCTCTCGCGCGCGTACGCACAAAAAATGGCTCGTTCCACAATCACACAGAGCCGAGCTTGAATAAATCACAGAGACCCAGACGTTCTTGTAATGTACTGTAGCATATTATTTTTGAATCAATAATCTTTCAAATTATGAATTTCACACATACAAAAAAGAAATACATACATTTCTTGTGGGTGCTATGGCTATCTTAGGGGGACCTGTAGCACCCCCTAGCGCCCCCCTGACGCCGCCTATTGACCTTCCATCCTCAAAATGTACATTACACACCTGTGTCCTACAGCGCCCTCATAGGTTTCCCTATGTTCCCCTGTTTGGTTAATAAAATGTTGTGACTTAAACTTTGATTGGGATGTTTTGATAGTTCCTGTTGAGTTGGCAGTCTGTTCTGGTCTAAAAAAAAGAACCAATGATGAATGTATCTAGAAAATATTGTTAGATGTGCCAAGAGCAAGGACTAACTTAGGTAAGACAGCTTTTATGTGCGCAGCTCCACTTGCTTGGAACAATCTTCAGCAAGAATTGAAACTGAGCAATCTCATTCCTCTGCATGTTTTTAAAGCTAGGCTAAATGAGATGCTTGATACTATGGATACTTGTAAATGTCTATAACTATGTAAATGTATCCTGTAAATATAATGTATGATGTCCTTTATTGTTTTATGTTTCATGTGGAACCTATATGCTGCAGGTCTCCCTTGAAAAAGATATCTATGATCTCAATGGGACCAATCTGGTTAAATAAAAGTTTGAAATGAAATGAAATATTCCTGATGTTTTCAGTTTGATTCTGTTCTCTTTTGTTTAAAGTGGACCTATCATGCTATATTTGAATAATATAGTGTAGGACCATACCTATATAAGGCATATTTATACTTTTTTTTTTCAAAATACCAAACAGATCATGCATTTTAGCCATGCCTCATTTTGCTCAATTTGATATTTTTTAGATCTGTTTTAGCAAGGGCAGATTCTGTGAGAACAGCACCACCTGGCATATGTACTACATCGTCTCCAGCGCTTTCGAACGGCAATGGCCGTGGCTGTCTCCTCCTGATTGGTGGAGTTGGCCCAATAGCCGTAGCGCCACCGTCCTGACGTCAGGACAGTGTTTAAATCTGGATCAGTTTTTATCAGATCCGTTGCAGCCCCTTTTTTAGAGATTTGGGTATGGAGGAAAATAGAGAGGGTTGTGTTTTCTGACACTTGGTGAGTTCCCTGGAACACCGGGGACACATATTCATGTAGAAAAGACGTACAAAAGTGCATTTTGCATGATAGGTCCCCTTTAAATTATCAGAATTTACCAAAAATAAAAAAGGCCTTAGAAACAGACTCACATCCCTGCATATTTTTTGTGTTTTTCAGCACATTATAAACATGTCATTCCCTTGTTTTAGGGCCGCTGACTGCTGGATGAAATGTATCACTCAAACTTTAATTTGAATGAAAAATATACTTTTTAACTCAGTTTGTTTGACCTGGTTTGTTCCCAGTGAAGGACTCCAGCTCACAATGAGGTAACTGTTAACCTGTTAAGCCCCAAGCCTGTTTTTCAGGTCTCAGGCTCGAAAATGACATTCCCAGAACATATGACTATATCTTCACTTCTAAAAGGGGTAAATTATCTCAATCTCAATCTTTATTTATTTATATAGCACATTTAAAACAATCTTCAGTTGACCAAAGTGCTGTACAGGCAATAACTACAATATTAAATAACACTAATAAAACAATAATTAAAAACATGATAAAAAGCACAATAACTAGAAACATTAAAAAAAACACATACAAATGTAAAAATGTAATGTTCAACTAGTATTAAAAGCCAGTGCAAAGAGGTGAGTTTTTAGCTGAGATTTAAAAAGTTCAATAGACTCAGCAGTCCGGATATGTACTGGGAGGCTGTTCTACAGTCTGGGAGCTGCAACACTGAAAGCCCTGTCACCTCGGGTTTTTTTCCTGCACCGAGGAACCACCAACATATTTTGCTGAGCTGATCGCAATGCTCTAGCTGGAGCATGGCGGTGCAACAACTCAGACAGGTAATGTGGTGCCAGTACATGCAATGATTTAAAAACAACAATTAAGTACTTGAACTGGATCCTGTAACTGACAGGAAGCCAATGAAGGTCTGCCAAAACGGGTGTGATGTGGTCATAACGTCTCTTCCCAGTAAGAAGGCGTGCAGCCACATTTTGGACCAGCTGCAGGCGACGGATCAAACACTTATCAACACCAATATACAGGGAGTTACAATAGTCTAAACGAGACGTTATAAATAGGTGGATTAGCTGTTCAAATTCCTTACTAGGAAGCTAAGCCTTTACCTTCCCCAGTAGCCGCAGCTGGAAGAAGCTTGTCTTGACAACTGAGCTTATTTGTTTGTCGAATTTAAAACAGTTGTCAAAGATGACTCCAAGATTTCTGACAGAGGGACGGCTGTAGGAGGCTAAGGGGCCGAGTACACTATTAAAGCCATCCAGGAGTTCAGACTGTCCAAATATTATAATCTCTGTCTTGTTTTCGTTGAGAGTCAAGAAGTTGATTTCCATCCATGATATTATGTCTTTCAACAGCTAAGCAAGGCAATCCTATATTCCTTATTTGCTTTTATAGGCAGGTATACCTGCAGATCATCTGCAAAGCAATGGTAAGAAATGTTATGCTTTTTAAAAATTGACCCCAGAGGTAGTAAATACAGACTGAACAAAATGGGGCCTAGGATAAAACCTTGAAGGACCCCATATGCTAGTGGGGCTGCAGCTGAAGAATACTGGCCAAGATGCACAGAAAAGGTCCTTTCTGACAGAGAGGATTGAAACCATTTGAGGACATTACCTTTAATTCCAACACACAGTTCATGGCGTGATAAAATAATTTGGTGGTCAATGGTGTCAAAAGCAGCAGACAAATCTAAAAGCACAAGCACAGCAGAATTCCCAGAATCAGCAGTTAAAAGAAGATCATTAAAAACTCTTAGGAGAGCAGTTTCTGTGCTGTGGCGTGATTTAAAACCAGACTGAAACTTCTCTGATATGCAGTTTAAAACAAGGTGCAACTGCAGTTGCGCTAACACCACTTTCTCTAGGACTTTAGACAGGAAGGGCAGCTTAGAAATAGGTCTAAAGTTGGAGAGAACAGAATGATCAAGGTTCTGTTTTTTGATAAGAGGCTGCACTACAGCCTAATCTTTTTTCTCAAAGCAATGATAAACCTGTGAGTTGGATGTAGAAAAGTATGAATCAATATAGATGTTTTTATTTTAAAGTAAATTCAGATTGAACATAGTAAAAAAGATTAAATTATAGTTTCCGTCCAAAAAAAAAACATTACTTATAGTGAAAACCACCCTTGAATGATGGGATAGTAGACTAAAAGCTTTTATAACATATAATAAGTACCCTGTATCAAGATTGATGCAAAACAAGTTAAATTTGACCTTTTTAGAGAGGTTTAGAAAAAAAGAACCACCTCTGGGGTCATTTGGGTAAATGCTGGTAGGACAGTGCCATCCCAAAGAAAGATTTGACCTTCTGCTGAGATGGAGTACAGCCGTCACCGTCCATAAGGTCCTCTTTCCTGAAAGCAGATATGACCTCCACCTTCCCCTGATCGACTGAGACACCATCACTGCTCACCACATGGCCAAGAAACCGCACAGACCTGCGAAGGAAGTGGCACTTCTTCTGAGACAGCTTCAGATTGTTAGCTCTGAGACGTGAGAAGACCGTCTCGAGTCGACTCAGGGCTTCCACTTCAGATGGAGCGAAAACCAGCAGGTCGTCCATATAACAGAGGAGGCTGGAGAAGTTCAAGTCACCAAAAACACTCATCATCCGCATAAAGGATGCAGGACTGTTGCATAGCCCCTGGGGAAGTCTGTTGTACTCATATAAGCCCAATGGTGTTGTGAAGGCTGTGTACCGTCTGTCAGACTCATGGAGGGGGACATTGTAGAAGCCTGACGTGAGATCCATGGTGCTGAAAAAGGCATTCCCTCCAAGGGCGGCAAGGCAGTCTCCCTGGTGGGGCAATGGGTGGGTGTCTTTGACTGTCTTGGCATTCAGCCAACGAAAGTCAGTGCAGATCCTCAATTCACCTGTCTTCTTCCAGACCAGAACCAGCGGGGAGGCATACTCGCTGACTGACTTGCTGATAATGCCCTTCAACTCCATCTCAGACAAGACTTCTCTCAGTTTGTGGTAGTGTGCTGGAGGGACGCGACAGTAGGGGAGCCGGAAAGGATGATCATCAGTGAGGTGTATGCGATTGACAAACCCTTTTGCTTCCCCGCAGTCTAGCTTGTCCTTGGAAAATACATCCTGGTAAGTGAGAACAAGAGGTGCGTTCACACCGGAGTACTTTGGTGTACTTTTCCCACAATAGTTCATCAGAACTACGATATATTTGCGTTCACACCAAAAAGCCCCAGGAACTAAAGTAGCTCAACTTAGTTCGCGAGACTCGCTTTTCAGTCCCTGCTACAGAGCAGGGTCTTTTGTGGGAGAAAGTAGTTCGTACGTCTGATTGGCTGTGCGGAATGTAAACCACGCCCGTTTGACTCCGAATTTTTTGTTGTAAGCGGCCATTGTATTTCCTCGCTTCGCAGCACACACGAAGAGATTCCTTTTGTGAAAGCAGTTATTATAGCAACACTAAATAAATCAATTGGAGCGGTGGAGTGATGAGGATGAGGATGAGGATGAGGATGAGGATGAGGATGAGGATGTGTCTGCGCTTCTGGCGATTGACTCGGAGGACGCGAAGCGCCACATTCAGAAGCTTCTACTGAATGCAGTTTCCGTGGCTCTGCAAAGTTAGCAGACCTGGCAAAGTCATGTCGGGACGACTACCAAGGTAAAATAAAATACATGCACTGCACTGTTTTAATCTGCACAATACTGGTCTTAGATGTACTTTTATTTGCTCAGTAGATCGAGCTAGCCATGGTAGAACTTGCTAACGTTAGGTCCAAGCTGGCTAATAACATCTAGCTAGCTAGCTATTCTCAGCCATGCCCGCTATGAACACGTTTTGACTTGTGAATAAGTGTGCAATGTTCTGTAATTTGCTTCACTAACTCATGGCACTAATCGTGTGTTTCAGGCGAGGTGTTTCTCTCAGGATTAGAAACTAGTTTTCCCCTCCGGGATAAAACGATAATATAACGTTAGCAATTAGCATGCTAGCTGGACCTCTGTGGCTACACTGAGGTAAACAATAGATTGTAGTTGCTATAATTTCAAGTAATTTGCAACATTCATTCTACATGTTAATGGTAAAAGCTTAAACAGTTGATTACCTGCATGCCACAAAGACTGATGTTCTAATATTTTTGCACATTTAAGTAGAAATGTAATTGAAATTCTATTTACTGCCTAAACATTGTTCCTTGTATTATCCTAAATAGTTTGACCTTGTTTGTTATTCAATATTCAAAAGTTTTTTGAATCATTACATGTCACTTGTTAGACGCTTTTATCCAAAGCTTACATACTCAATACTGTGGGCAATCCCCACAGGAGCACTTTGGGGTGAAGTGTCTCAGGGACACAACGACATGCTGACTGCAGTGGGGTTTGAACCTGTGCTCCCCTGATCCGAACACCAATGCACTTATCCACTGCGCCACACACCTCCATCCTTTACTCAAGTAGAAGTACAGATACTCGTGTTTGAAATACTCTGGTAAAACTTCTTAAGTAAAAGTAAAGAGGGCTTTGAAATGTACTTAAGTAAAAAGTACCCATAACTACCAGCTGTTTTAAAGAGTACCTGACCTCCCTTTATATTAATAGAACAATAATGTCATTGTTAGCTAATGAATGTTTCCATGCTGAACAACGGCAACATGACAAAGTTTTCATTGGTCCCTCTTCTTTAGAGAAGACCAGGAAATGATGGATACACGGATCGTGTTCAAATCAATAGGCACGCAATGACTCTAAATAATAATGATCACGCCACCAAACACACATTCAAACTAAAGTAACCAGCCTGTTTGGAAAATGTAAGAAGTAGAAAGTACAGGTATTTGTGTTCAAAATGTAAGAAGTAGAAAGTACAGGTATTTGTGTTCAACATGTAAGAAGTAGAAAGTACAGGTATTTGTGTTCAAAATGTAAGAAGTAGAAAGTACAGGTATTTGTGTTCAACATGTAAGAAGTAGAAAGTACAGGTATTTGTGTTCAAAATGTAAGAAGTAGAAGTAAAAAGTGATCAGAAAAATAAGTAGTGGAATGTACTTAAGTACAGTAACGAGGTATTTGTACTCCGCTACTTCCTACCTCTGACCAACGTGTATCTCTATATTCAGAGCACCCAGTATAAGACGGTGGAGCGGGTGGTGCAGACTCTGAAGAACCTGTGCTGTGCTCTGGACGAGACGGAGACCCAGGCCATCACTGAGGCCGTCAAAAGGCTGAAACACTCCGTCAACTTACCCCAGACACGCTCCCCCAAGGTGGGCTAACACTCTGCTTCACACGTTCATACAGAGCGTTGTTTACATGTTAGGAAGTGTTTGTAAGATCAACTTGTTTTGCTTTGCAGATGGGGTCCACATCGTCTGGTCAATCGTCAAATGGTACGTACACACAGTCACACTCCACCTCCACTTATTTAATTTAAATGTGATTGTTGCAGCTTATCATGTCAATGTGGTGCAAAGATGCATTACAGACAGAAATAACTTTTAAATAAAGTCACTGTCAAGTGTCTAAGGCTATTTAAAGACTATGTGGCTTATTCTATTACGGTATGAATCATTCAAAGCTTCATAGCATCATTAATGCTTGTATTAAAATTGTAAAACGTTTAATTTATATCTATTTGTCCCTATCATGTCCTGAGAGCCCTCCATCCCCCAATTGCTAGTGCCTTCACCATTTAAAATGTTAATAGTCAAATCAAAGGTGTTCCCTGTGTTCCTCCTGTTGTGTGCCTGCAGAGACAGATTTGGACAATGTTGTGTTGTTGTTGCGATTAAACTGATCTTGTATCTTGCATATTTCACCTTAGGAAAGTGGGCACGCGATGACAGCTTCCTTGACACCATCATGGCGATGGCCCGCCGTGCCATGGTCAGCAAGGAGAATGAGGACCTGCGTGCCAAGGAGATGCACGACGAACGGCTGCTGCATTCACACAAGGCCCAGGAATCGAGGTGGAGCAACAAAATACCTTTCAGGCTGGGCTTCTGGCAGTGCTAAGCGAGCTGATTAAATCCAACAGGCCTTCAATACAAAAATTAAGAAAAACTTGTCGTTGATAAACTGTACAATGACTTGTTGGGAGGCGTGTGGTGCAGTGGTCTGGTGCGTTGGTGTTCGGATCAGGGGAGCACAGGTTCAAACCCCACTGCAGTCAGGATATCGTTGTGTCCCTGGGCAAGACACTTCACCCCAAATTACCTACACCTGGGACAGTTAATTTAGTATTATTGTGATTATATATATATGCCACTGTTATTAATACTGACACCTAACTTTGCACAAAGGTGTGTCTGCTGCTGAGCCTACCTATTGTTATTATTTATTTATATATATATATTGCCACTGTTATTATATTGTTTTGATACTACTGACACTTATTGATCTGCTGCTGATAAATAAAAGAGAACCTACATGCACGGCACTAGCACTATGACTGTCTTTGTTTAAACCAGCAGCAGTGCAGCGGTACACAGACTAACCTGTGTGTGTGTAACGTAGTTCTTCAGGTGTGCATGCTTAACATGTATGTTAACATGTATGTATACAAACGTTTTTAAAGAGCTTTCAACCTCATCCCATTGTCTTTAACACACATTTAACATAATATACTCATTAATATACAAATATACAGTATGAGTACTGTTTTGATACTGACATTTAATCTTTGCACTAAGGTGTCTGCACTATTGTAATTGTGTCTGTTGACTGGTAAATAAAAGAGAACCAAATGCACTGTACAAAATATCAGCTTTATTGTCAATTTACAATTTCCATGCTGTTCAGATGCCTCTCCACAACGTTGCTTCCAGGCGAATACAGAGGAGTTGAAAAGAGCCCTTGGACATTCGGAAATCTTTGATCCACTGCACATGTTGGCACCACCTCACACCAGGCCGACGTTCTATTGTTCACCCAGAGTTCCGTAGTATTCGCATATCTGGAACACATACAAAGACACAAATTAGCCCTACATAACTCCATAAATCCTACATTAGATAGTATTAATGTGATTTAATGAACGTACCATTGCTGTTCTTTGGGCGTGATAACGGCCATCATCCTCGGCTGTACAACGGCGAAACATCTCCATCGCGTGTGATTTCGTCATCTAATCCTTTTGTTAAGGCTTCTTAACCGCCTTCGCCTCCGACTCAGCATTTCTATTGCATTTGAATGGTCGATCTGTATTTGTATTTGTGGCTGAGTTATTGGCTTAAATAACTCCGTTACGAAGCTGTATAACACGACCATCAAAACGTCAACTCCATACCGTGTCTGAGGTCGGAAGGTAAACAGAAGCATCCAGCGGAAGCGGAAGTTTTTTTTCTTCTTCTCTCGTTTTTTGGCGGATTGCAACTTTAAGGTGCATACCGCCACCCACTGTACTCGCCGTGAAGTTGTTTGCAGCCTGCCAGGAAAACCTAAGCAGAAGAAGAATAAGTGACGTCAGCGGCTCATTTGCCTAATCCACCCCCAGGAACTCATTTTGGTGTGAACGCGATCTGCTTTAGTTCGTCAGAACTAAAAGAACTCTCATGAACTAAAGTTCTCAGGAACTACTGTGGGAAAAGTACTTGGTGTGAACGCGCCTAAGGTCAGCCAGACGCTGCTTCCATTCGCCCGACACTTCGCAGCCATCAATGTCTATGTCCGTCAAACCACATTCCTTGAGTTGTTGAAGGGGGTTACAGGTGGTTTCTGGGTTGAAGACCGGTTCAGCAGGCTGATCTGCCTGTGACCTGTTCACACCCTGGGAGATGTGGAGGTCCTCTACAGCAACACAAGGAAAGACGTCAGCCACTTTGGCATTGCGACGTAACGTCACAGGTTTCTTCGTCGAGTTCATGATCTTCATTGGGACCCAGCGATCTCCCCACATTGGTGCTCGCCCAACAATGAGGTTCTTTGGGGCTGAACGGGAGGATGTTGGTTCCACAATGGAGCATAAAACAAGTCGCTAGCCCCCTCCACCTTATGTGATCCCACAAAAATCACTGTCTTGTCGTCAGGAAGACTACTAGAACAGTTTACATAGATAGACTGCGAATCTTCCTCCCTGCTGAGGGTGTCACCAGCACTGCCCATGTTACCCCTCTCATTACATGGGCTGGCTAGTTTAAATCAGCATTGGAGGGTGAAGGGGCAGGCGTGGTTGGGGAGCGGGAGGCTTTCGGGCACTCAAGCCTCATATTGGTCATATGAGGCTTGAAGGGCCAAAGCAGTTGAGGCACAATCGGTAAAGTCTGCAATGCGCATGGGTTGAATGGATGTCTGAACTACAAACTCTGCATGTAGTGGGAACTGAACCCTGCTGGTGATAGGGTCGGCCAGCTTGCCGATTGCATGGTTGACTGTTTTCAGGCTGACGGGAAACTGCCTGATGGTAACCTGGCCGTTGGCTGCTCTCGAAGGAAGCAGAGCACAATGACAGAACTTTATCAAACATAGCCACTAGCTGCCGAACACCAGGCTCCATGGTTGATGAGTCAATGGTGGCAGGGGCTGAGTTAGAAACAGCAGCAAGGGGTGAAGGCAGTGCATTAGATGCATGTTGACTCACTAGCACATTGTCCAGACGAGGCTGATCGCAGACCCCCACAGGGGTAGGCAGAGAGGTCTGATGGGGATTCAACTGGCATATCCCGAAGGCAGCTTGTGCACCGCCAGGACATGAAGAACGGAAAGAATCAGCCACAGGGCTCTGACTGCAAGCTGACAAACACTCTGTGTGTCGGGACTCAGATGCTGTCCTCCTCGCATTTCTCGTGTAACTCTCCAAACGCCCCTGGACCTCGGATGCAGTCCACTGCTCAGGTGCCTTCAGCTGGAATGACATGGCAAGACTGGGATTAGGACAGTGATTAATGAACATCATGACCACTTCAGCACTGGGGTCCTCAACAGACCTACAGTCTCCTCAGGCACTCGTCAGCAGCATCAATGGATTTGTTGAGGCGAATCCAGTAATCCATGGCACTTTCATTTGCACGGGGAATGGTACTATAGAAATCTTTCATTGGCAAATTGGAGTACGAGAGCTCGCTAAAGTTACCTTTTAATATGTCGAACACTGCTGCAGGCAGGGCAGTGACATCCAGTTCGGGGCAGCTGCGGAGCGACACTTTCACCACATCCCTAGCTCTGCCTGTTAGCCTTGACATTATCATGTCGAACATTTCTTCACGAGTGTCACATTTATCCTATTCATGTAACATTTCATCATGTCCTCCCATTCATGAACTGAGAATGTGTCACTATGGTCACCCCTGAAGTAAGGTGGAGCCTTTGATTCAGACTGCACAACAACCTTCAAATGTGACAAACCAGTGACGTGCGGTGAGGTTCATGGCTGGTGAGGCACTGACTCTTTCAGAGTCAGATTTACAAATATTATATTTTGACCGTAATCGAAATATTCGGTTATTTTCAAAAGCTTTTTTAGTCTGATGCTTCGATTCATTTTAAACAGACCGTTCAACAAAAGGATACCCAAAATCTAAATATTGGATTGTTCTTTCTTAGTAAGATCCCATGTTCATTACAATTGTGGTCTTACCTTGACTTGAAGATGAAGTCCATGCTATCCTTCTGGACAACAATCTCCATGACTTTTTTGTAAAAGTCCTCCTTATCTCCCTCTAGTTTCAAAAGTCTAGTTTGTTGTTTGCGTCTACCGTCTCTGCGTAGAATTACAGTAGCAACAAGAACCTGTGGGCTCACGTGCGCCCCCTTCAGTGCGGCAGAGGTTATGGCTGCCTCTCCTGGTGCTTTTTTCCTTGCCGTTGTACGATGAGACCAGCGGGCCTAAATATCATATATACGTGAAATAAGTTATTTAGAAACTATGGATGGCGAGGATAAATGTAATAAAGGGATCTACAAACATTACATTGGTGACCTACAGTGAGAGGGTAACAGGCATGCGCTTAGGGCCCGCTTTCCAGCCAGTTTCTGTGGGGTGACGCATTCTGAGGTGAGGCAGAGCTCATCTGTGCCTCACCTCACCCCACAGTAAGCAAATGAGCCTGGCTTGAGCACGCTCACAAAATAAATGCCCGCGCTACATTAGTGCCCGCGCTCCAGTCAGTTACTGTGGGCTTACGTGAGGCAGAGCTCGTCCCTGCCTCACTCCTCATCGCTCCCATGTAGTTGTAGCGGAGCTCGGCCAATTTGCTGATTTGGACTATAAAAAGCGATTGGAATCATACATAATTCACACTTACAACACAGATCAGTGGAGACATTTTATTATTATTACTATTTAGTTTTTCTTTAGTTGTTTTTCTGTTACATTGGAGTATGACAGGTGAGGCTCTGCCTCCCCTGACTGCACGTCGCCGTGACAAACCATCATGACTGGATGACTGACTCGTAGCAGAATTAGGCTGGATGACACTGGGTTGGTGAATAGCGCTAAGGCTGGCTGAGATGTTATCCCCAATCTGTAGCCAAGTCTGTAATCAACACCCCAAATGTATCAACAGAGATGACTTGTGCAGGCTTAGGGCCTGGTGGGATGAATGGTGTGGAACTGGCAGCGGGGGCCAAACGTGGGTCAATAACCGACTGATCAACTGAGTAGTTGAGAATATTGGGCAACATAGACCTACCCCTACCAAAACTAAGAGAAGCAGCCTGCTGACCCCTCCCCATCCCAAAAGTAAAGTCATGCCCATGACCAGCCATAGCTCAAATATCAAATGTACCACCCTCTGATATCACAATATGCCCAGAAAACTTGTACAATAAATACCAATGAAAAAAAACAGGTTATCACTCTCAGTACATATAAAAACAGATATAGACATCAAATATCACCAAACTTGGACGATTGGATCCACCGA